AAATTACTTGCATATAAACCCATAGAGGGAATTGAAACAACAAAGTCAAAAGCATCCTGACTAACAGGTCACCACAGATCAATCTTTGGAATATGGTAGATTTCATGAAGAAATTAATAATAATAAAAAAAACTTTGTGCCTTGCTGCATCTCCTATAGTGATTCATATTTGTCTTGTATCTTAATTCCCGTTGTAAGATTATTGTCTGTTTGAGTAATTGTCATCCGCCATTCAAGTTGATGGACAATTTGAATTGCTTCTGTTTGTATCCTGTATATAAAAATGAACATTTATATTACAACTAGCAGATCTAAGGTAACATTAATGTTTTACCTTTGAGGTACATGCACAATATTATGAACTTGGTCCTCACTTTGCAGTTAGAAAACTTCCACTCAAGAGAGAGAGAAATGAATGGCTCGGCCATGTTTGTTTTAATCTTTTCAAGTCCGTTTTTAAATGTACTTTATGCCAAAGTAATGATTTTTTTTTTTTTAAATTAAGAGTCCTATGAAGTCGTTTTTGGGTCTTGGACTGAAGGAATTGAGAAAATCCTCCATTTATTTGATATATTTCCTTATTATCCAGATACAAATCTGAATTAATAGACTAACATACATTAATGGACTGCTGTTAATGTTCCTTAAATGATAGAATCAAGTGCAAAAGGACATAAGTAGACAGAGCTCATCAGGAATTACACTTCACAGCTCATCAAATGTGAAAGTCGAATCCGGCACATCACTTCAACCATTCAACTTACTTGGTGTGCTGAAGCCGTCTCTTGCTGTGCTGATTCTTGACTGACATTTCCCCCACAGGATTGAAGGTGTCGTTTTGATACTTAAAAGCCACACTCATGTCCGCTGCGTTGATGCTGAACTCGCAAAGCGTCACTTGCCTCACAGCCCGGCAGTGACTGTCATCAGTGACTCTCTCTACTCCCCTTCTCCCTTCCTTTGTTTCCTCCCACAGTGCAGCTGTCTTTTTAGCCTCAACTACTTCCTGTTGTTGGTCTATCCTTTGGGAATGCAATTGACATCATGGGGGGGGGGGGGTCAACCAGTGAAACACATTTTTGGCCAATACTCCTATAAACACACTAAAATCACATCAGTAACATGTTTAATTTTTTAGAATTTTAGATTTGAAAAAAAATAATTCAGTCCTGTGAAATCAGCCTGTTTTGAGGGGGCGGTCCTAAATGAGCCACAGTTCACCTTGATTGCGGGGATCAGGCTAAAAATGACAAGAGATGAAGCCGGGGTGAGGGTTGAACCAGGCAAGTGGCTTTTAATTACAAAAGTGGCAGCCCAGGGTCTGTATGAAAAAGCGCTTTAAGGACTTTGAAAAGCACTATATGTCCACTTTTTTTTTTTACCCGTAGAGACAGTAAAAGCTAATTTTATATGTTCAGTCATGCGGTTGGTATGCCATCACCAAGCTGTTGAAATAGACAAGTCAATTAGCCTCACAGGTATTGAACCTTATTACAGATTTCAGCCTGCACCTTTGGAATCTGCTACTTGTGGAATCTGTGACATATTTATAAGTTATTTCCCCCCATACATGATCTCCAATTTTTAAAAAAACAGGACAAGTATCATGTTGCATGCAAAAGTAAATTCGGATGTGTGGAGGCAAAAGATAGCAAATGGTTGAGGAAGAAAGCTGTGAGGAACTCTTAACATATGATATCTAGCTCACATCAAGCTGCATGAGGGCAGCACAGTTAGCTCAGCAAAAGTGAAAAAACTACAACAATCTAGAAAACGACATCAGTTTAGTGACATTCGCTTTTCACAGCCAATACTGACAGAAGCCGAGAGTTTCGTCGCACCAAGAGCTCAGTGCGCAAGCCACTTAGCGGTTTCATTGTCACATTTTCTTCACTCAGTTTGTGTTCATGTACTGCAGCTTGCGTTGCCTGGCAGAGTTGGTTTGCAAGCAGAAGCAGCTGAGTCACTGCAGCCTTTTCTGATCTCACTTGCTGAGGCGATTCTCACTGTTACCATGGCAACATCATTTTTGGACATTTTCTGATGGAGTCAGAAATGTGCCAGTCTCAAAGCGGGACTTGCTTTTATGATCCAGAAGACACACATTCCACCCCCCTGCACAGTCCGTAACCACGCGGGCGAGGAGAAAAGTGCCAAGCACAAGCTTTTGCAGTCCTTTGGGATGACTGTCAAAGTCACGAGTGTCAAGCTGAGTTAGTTTTACTGCAGCCAGACGCTACTGCACTTTAATGCAGTATCACTGCAGCATGGAGCACATGCTCTCACCGAATGGAAGTCGAATAAAGAGCCGATTAGAAACACGTCTCAGTATGACGCATTAAAGTACTGCACCACAACCAAATAGTTTTTCAAAATACATACTGGAAAATTGCTCCTTCAATTAAAACCTTATTGGTCGTCCTTTTTTAAGAAGTGTTGTTTTTTTCAAACATTTCTGGCTCGAAGATGTAGAGAATGCCCAATTTTTTTGCACTTAACGTTTGTACAGGAGTATGCCACTGTGCTGACCTGCCTGCTGTGTTCCAAATGGGGAGTAGCAGTGTGCCCTCTGGTGGTAAAACTATGTACTGACGACACTGAAAATCAGTAAAAAAAAAAAAAAAAAAAAAATCACCAAAGCGAAATACATTTTTAACGTAGTCGATCTCACTTATCTGTAAAACGTATTTCCAAATGAAAAAAATCCCCTTTTGAAAGACCTACCTGGAGAAAACCCACACAGGGAACATGCAAACTCCACACAGGAAGGCCAGGGCCGGAATCAAACCCTGCGCCTTTGCACTGTGAGGCTGACATGCTAACCAGTCGACCACTGTGCCACAAAGAGTCATTACTCCTCTGACAAAAAAAATGACAGTGTAAGATTATACATAAATCCTTAAAAACACCAAATTAATGACATTCTTGCCCATGATGAGCGCACTTCTCGCTTTTACCGAATTAATTCATTCCATTTGTTGATATTTATTAGAGCAGAGTGGAAGGATGCTCATGAGTGATACAAGACACCGCAAATGATTGTGAAGGAGCTGACAACACTCAGGGCTGAATAGGTGACACACGCCTGCTTTAAAGGGACACAAAGCGGTGCAGAGCACCATTAATGAGCATCATTGTATCATTGTGAACACACACACACACACACACACACACACACACACACACACACACACACACACACACACACACACACACACACACACACACACACACACACACACACACACACACACACACACACACACACACACACACACACACACACACACACACACACACACACACACACACACACACACACACACACACACACACACACACACACACACACACACACACACACACACACACACACACACACACACACACACACACACACACACAAACATACACACGCCGCGCAGGCACAAAAGATTTGCTGCCACGTGTCCAGATATCCTCCTCGTATTTCCCATTCAGACCACCACGCCGATGGAAATCACTAGTGACGTACTGAGTGCTGAGTTTTCCACAAAGCGAGAGTCAATTTGCTGAGCGTCTCAGTTGAACTCAGTGTGAAAGGAGAAGGGAAAGTAGCGTGGGAGGCCAAAGCTGAACAGAAGCTGGGAAAGCAATATAAACTACAACCTTGACGTGCAAGAGCCCCTTACAAGTTTTCAAGTGAAGGGCTTTGTTGTTGTTTATTATATTCTTTTGCAACGCAGCCTATATTCTCTAAATTAAAAACACGTCACAAAGTGTAGTGTGGTAGTTGTTGGAAGCCGGAATGGCATAATGACATTTCTATTCATTTTAATGGGGAATACTGATTTGATATACAAGTAAATTGACTTAGGAGTTTAGCTACAGGATGAATTAAACTCATAAATCAGGGTATCACCTGAATGATTTATGCATTTCTCTACTCCGGCCTTAAAGAATGGAATCATGTGTATTTCTATGTGCATATTCCACGGTTCAGAAAGCGTGAATAGCTTTTTACACACAAAGTCACACATGCACTTAACACCACCCACCCGTGCACATGTGCTCCATGTGCTCAGCACGTACTGTACAAGTTCCCGACAGCATCCGCCACGATCCGAGTCTCAAAATGGCTCCTTGTGAGCACACTTGGGCACCTTGCCGGACTGGCCATTAGCTCACTATGTGAGTGGCAGAGACATCCTAAAGTGCTTTGGGGAAATGCATAATCCTATTTGTCTTTTCAAAATAATAAATCTTTCAAGTTCAACACATGTATGCAAGAAAATCCAAGAAACTGAAATGGGATAGTGATCGTGCAGTGGTTCTCAAACTTTTTAGAAAAATTCCATTTACAGTAGCTCCCCATGTACCACAATCATGACTAACAATCAAATGTGGGAACATAGAAGGCCTTCGTGTTCCTCAAAACAAGACATAGGTTGTATTCCTATGTAGTATTATTGTAAACCATTATAACATAATGCGTAGTTCGAATGCCGCTTAAATAGATGAAAAACAACGGCACTTACATTTAATATTGAACTATAAACATGGTTTCAAAACAAACACTTCTTTAAAGATGAAATACCAATGTATGAAAGTTAAAAGTTAAACACAACTGAACTGTATTGGGGACAATGATTCTTTCAGGTACCACTTGAGCCCAGGTGTCAAACTGCGATCCTCGAGGGCCGCTATGCTGCATGTTTCCCATGTCTGTCTACTGCAACAAACCTGATTCAAATCATCAGCATCGTTATCCGGCCCCTGCGGAGCTTGCTGATCAGCTGATCATTTGAATCGGGTGTGTTTCAGTTTGGAACTACGGAAAGCATGCAGGAAATCGGCCCTCGAGGACCAGGCTTGGACACCTGTGCATTGGAGAATCCACGTACCATTAGCGAGACTTTGAGAATCACTGCTAAAGTGCACTTACAATATCAATATTGAGTACACACCAAAGCAGTGTAGCCGAATGGACTGCACAGCTGAATACGGTCCATGCAGTGTACCTGAAGCAGACGGTGTGCCAGTCAGTGTTGAGAGCCTGAAGATACTGCTCATCGTAGATCCTTTGTTTGCACCCTGCACACACGGGCAAACTTCCTCCAGCTGCAACCAGATTGAAACAGTAGAAGCGGAGTAAGTCCGACGCCGTGCGGTCAGACACGACTACATTGCAAACAACAACTGCAAAGATAAACAGCGTTCGGATTCATATCTTTCTAATTTTGTCAATCAACGGAGAGCATTAGCATTCTGTCATTTCAAAAAGTAGTTGACTATTGACCCCAAAGAACCACATTAGCTGCGTTAGGAACGCTTATTCATGAAGAAAACCTTCAGGAGGAAGAGGCAGGAGTAGGAGTGACAGATAGCAAGGCATCACAGCTCACTTGGGCCAGCTTTTAAAGTGAATCTTTCTCAACGCACATCACGCACCCTTTTACATCTGAGGCCATGAAGACATAAATGCATTGAGAGGCTGAGTAAGAGATGTTAGCGTACTGTATCTCTATCAGTCAATATGCTTGGTAATGGATAGGCGGGCCATAAGAGTCTTAAGCTTTACATGGCATAACAACACACTTGGAATGAATTCAACAGGAGCACCGGGCACTTGTAACAACACAGTAATGACTACAGAGTGCTAATAAAACAATATAGTAATTATTACTGAGTGTAAACTTTTAAAAATGTAGTATCACTAGTACAGAAACAAACAACAGAGTAATTACTGCTGGACCCTACAGTGCCGAAGATGGCCACTAATGTCTCTCCTTCCACTTCAGCTATTCATGTATTCATATTTATCACCTTGTCTCTTTATTATAGAGCACCTCACTTGCTCATTCTTGCAAACTCTGGTGTCTGCAACAACCACTCTAATAGCTCAGCTGAAAGACAAACAAAGACACAACAGAAAATAGCGCACTGAAACATTACCTGAGTCATCACATCCACGAAACGTTTTTCGAGTGTCTAAATCAAAGTTCAGACTTAAACCCAATCGAGGGGCTATGGTATGACAAGCAGTAAATGCTCGAAATCCCTCCAATATGGCTTAGTTCGAACAATTCTGCGAAGAAGTGTGGAGCAAAATTCCTCTACGTGGATGCAAAAGACTCATCAGCAGTTATATCGCAAATGCTTCAGTTACTGCTACCAAAGGTGGCACAAAAAGGTCATAGATTCAGGGGCACTTTTTCAAATAGGGCCAGATAGATTTGGACTTTTTTTCTTCTTTTTGTACACTTACTAAATAAAATGTTCAATTCGAAAAATGCATTGCATTTTTACTTGAGTTGTCTTCGTAAGATGTTAACATTTGAGTTGTGAAATATTTAAGTGTGAAAAACGTATATAAGAAATAGCAGCACTTTTGGAAGCAAGTCATGTAGTCAGCACAGTGACAAGAAGAATATGCTTGTCAAATGTACTCTAGAAGATGAGTGTGCATGACCTGGAGCTGAACACTTGCACGCAAGCATGACGAAGAAGGCAGCATGGCCTCATTTAGACAACCATCTGGACGTGCAGCCTGACACTCTTTGTAAATACAACACAAATCAGAAGAAAAACAAACTACAGAGGAGAAATCTTTTGCCCACCAGCATCTCAACGTTAGAGCGAATCCCGCCCGGCCGGTGCACTAGGGTAAACATTCTAAACCCCCCTTTGACTTTATTTCCTTACCTTCCTCCTCTCCCATGCGTTCGTCCTTCCAGGTGCAGCAGAACAGCATCAACCGCATTCACTCTCCGACAGAGAGCCAGGAGACTGTTCGACGAATAACCGATGCCCAACCACCTCGGGCCGGCTGTGTGTTGGCAGCGGTGGGCTCGTTTTTTTTTCTTCCTGCTGCCCGCTTCGGGTCTGAGCCTCTGCGGGGCTTCATTCAAGAGGGCAGCAAACCAATGAGGTTGCTCGGCCGACCACAGGACGACGCCGATTGGTCGAACGTGATTGGGCCCTCCCCTTCCTTCTTACAGGGAGGCACTGGTGGGTGGAAAGTCGGGATCCGACTACTGGGAACATATTGTGGGTTTAATATTTAAACTTCGTACCAACTGGTCAATCGAAACAGTGGTTAAACATACGCATTCCTACAATTTATGAGGCAATGTTAAAATAGATTATGTCAAGATGTCTTCTTTTCACGATTGCACAACTGAAACGCCAGCACAACGCTCAAGAAAATGGAGGGGAAACTGATACGCTCCCACACATGCAATTAAAATCCTCACACTTCTGACTAAAATCCTAAAATCATCTCACACATCAAGCTGAAGTAGTCACCAGAAATGGACTGGCATGCTGGCACACATTATGATGAAATGTCCTCTAAAGTGTTCATCATATAACATACTGAAATCCTCTCTCCTCTCCTACATAACACAATAAATAGCTCTCATAAAATACTGAGATGCTCGACATTATACTGAATTGGTCTTACTGAAGGCTGTCTTGCTGAAATGTTTGTTTCTTCATACACTGTATGTACTGTATATGTATAAGGGATGATGGTGAGCTTTCAAACAGGATGCTATTATTGTATAGTTTGTATAACAGAGTATTTGTATGACTAACCAATAATTGTATTCATATATTATTTGTCAAGACTATATAGAGAACAAGTGGTCCCATTATTAATTTTTTTTTTACTTTCTCCTCCTTGTTTCTGAACATGAAAGCTATGCCAAAGGATGACATTTATGGCCTCTGGGTTTTAGTGCAATGCATGAAGTGCTTCCTCCATGACTGAAAATGCTTTCATGATATTTACTTGCACTTGCGTATGTAACGTGTGCATCATGACTCAGTGCTTCATTTTTTTCCATATGCCGCAAAAAGTAGTAGTTACCCAGATGAGGCAAAGGGACATCGTAATTTTTTTGACTCCCCAAAAAGTTGCCAACTAATGGTTCATGTATTTTATGCAACATCAGTAATTGAAACAGGACATGTTTTTGTAGTTTTTAAACACATTTTATTTTTGTTATTTGATGATGCTAATACAACGGCAGGATATATTAACTCATGTGAGTCTGTGCACGTGTGTGTGGAAACATTCTTTTTTTTTTAAAAAGTGCAAAACCACAATGTTCCTCCTTTTGGAAATAGTTTTAAATAAAGATGTAGTGTATCCCACGGCACATCTGCCCCAGTGAGGCTCAAAGTGCTCCGAGTGGATGAACCAATGCCAGCAACTTTCATATTAGTACAAAATACAGTACACAATTACAGAAAGAACAGCAACAGCACCCATGAACCTTTGATCATTTAAGCTTTTTCCTCTTTTTTTTTTTTTCCTCTAAAGCAGCTCAAGTAAATGAACAATGGGGCACGGATGCACCCATTAAACAAAAGTGTTATTCTGTACTACGATTCATGAATCAAGGCTTGGTCTGACTGCATGTTCACACAATTGTAATAATAGGATATGAGTTATAAGCTTGAATGCACATTATTACATAACTGTAAATAACTCCTGAAATGACACTTGAGGAAAAAGCATCACGCGCAAAAATGCAAACTTTCCAGAAATACACTGGAAGAATAAAAGTTTAAGGCAACTCCATTTTAGAGACTGATCTCAATAAAGCATTTGTCGAAATTAAAAATGCTCGGGCAAATAAAATCAGGAAAAAAAAGGGCAAATGAGAACAGATGGGCTGGCTGGAGTCCCATTTCCCACTACTTTATAACCAATGGGGCTAAAAATAGCAGTGAGGAAGGAGGGCCCGGAGACGATGTTGCGATTTGGCCACCAAAAGCCGCCTTCTCATGAGTTACAGAGGTGGTGTGCTGCAACATTTCAGCTTGATTGGTTCAAGATTGAAAAGGGTGCGCTGGAACATCCTGCACAGGTCACATTGGCAGGCAACCTTTTCAAGCAGTCTTACGCTCTGTCCCCAGATGTCCGAGCCACATGAACCACACACGGTTCTACAAGTCTGTATCGGTATGAGCACGGGCTGACGCACATTATACAGTATTTGAAGTAGACGGCTACATAAAGGGGAGGGGGGGGGGGGTCTAAGAGCGCACTGACGTTCACACATTTACGACTGAAGGCACTGTCCGCAATACATGTCACATGAGGAAAAAAAAAAGTACACAACTCTTGGTCGGTGGGTTTGCATAAGAGCAGACATTGAAGTCAAGTCATTAAAAACATTTGTGTTTTAAAATGTACATTCTAGTTCATGCAGTAGCACCATGTTTTTCTTCAGGCCACGTCACACCTCAGGAACGGATTTACTTCCTCCTGCCACAGTATTTGCCCTGACACGGTGCGGCTGCTGCTCCGCCTGTCGGAAACAATCAGCGCGCAATTAGCGACATGTTAGCATTACCGACACAACATCATTTTTGTCGCAGTATAGGATATGGAGTTATTCACCTTTTCAGATTTTAAACAAATAAACTTTTTTTTTCCATGATTAAGATGCGTTGGTGGAATAAGAATGATTCTGATTGATCCACCCATTGTAATCCATCTCAAGGGGCTGCCATTTTGACATTCTATTGCCCTCTGCTGGCCACTGAAATTGACATCAAAGTACCCTCGGACTCACATTGCGAACGTCACATGACCAAACTCAGAAAAACTGTCAACTGATTGATAAACGACCATTCAGACCCACATTCACACCTTTTGATAATTTGGAATCTTCAATTAACCTAAATTCATGTTTTTGGAATGTGTATTGATTATCCAGGGAAAACCCCACACAGGCAGGGAGAGAAAATACAACGGCCACGTTGAACTTCCGACGAACCGAGAGCCGGATGTGCTAACCACACGGTCGCCATGCCACATGTAATATCCACATGTATACTCAAGACGTTATTTGTGAAATGCAGGTCTGTTACCTCTGTAGGCTCCTCCTGCTCCTGCACCACCCAGAAAGCCTTGCAATGGATTCCCAATGTACTTGGCTGCTTTAGCTGCAAAAAGAAACATACTGGAATAAGGAACAATAAACCGTGGAAATGCAATTGATTTGACAGCACCACTAGGTTGCTTGGGAACAGTTTGGATCATGATTTTTTTTGTAAGCCAAGTTGATGATGGCAAGACTGACAGAAAAATCCCCATGCTAATGACTGGCTAAAGAACACCAGTCAAGATGAACAGTTGGCAGGTATTTTTATGAGAGCAATCAAAATACAGAATGATATTATAGGCCTTGGCACCACCAACCGACCAGTGAAGTTATGGTTGGTTGCGAATACCCCCAACGGTGTCAAACATCAATCCAGCAAACGAAGAAAGCAGACGTGCTCTCCCTCAACTAATCCCACCAGCAATAATCTCCAATGTTCAGGAAAATGCGGATTATCATAAATTCACACACTGGTTGTGTCAAGCCACCTGCGTGCGCATGCGCGCACACACACGCACACGCACACACACACACACACACACACACACACACACACACACACACACACACACGCACACGCACACGCACACGCACACGCACACGCACTGCATGGACTTCCTATTTCATTCAGATAATCTGGTATTTAACACAGACAGGAAATTGGAAAAATAACTGAGGTGCTGACAAGATATCGCTATAATATAATTATCATCATCATAAATGGCTGTCAGGTACCTTGTTGAGGAGTCAATGGTGCTGGCACGTATCCACCTGTGTACGGGCAGGGAGGAAAAAAATGGATGGTAAATTAGCCTCATGATAAAGGAGGTTAGGGTTTGATTTCTGCTTGTTCGGTAATGAGCAGGATTCAACAAATACGAATGGCCCTTTAGATAGGGAAGAAGAAAGAGCCCATTCACCATTTAAGGGTCTTTCTTCTTATACCGCATATACTTTGACATTTTGACGAGGATCCATGATGTGTTTCATCCAACACTAGCTAGTGATAATGTAGACTTTCCTTCCTATTTGGTGGTGCGAAACAGCATTACAAAAGGAGAGCATATTTTCCCGCTGCAGCTCCATGTGTCGGAACCGGCGGGTTGACCCCAATGCATGCAGACAGTAACAGTGAAAATTGGGAACATAAATGACACCGCACCATTATCTGGATATGCACCAAAATTGGCTGTTACTCAGCCCTAACGAATCAACGAGCTACCCAACAAACAAACACATGGCAGAGTAACTTCTGGCCTTGATCTTTTTGTGCTTGTGCTGCCCAGTGGATAATTTGTATCTCAGCACGTGCATATGATGGGATTGTAATCCCACCATGCTACATACAGTACAGTAAACGTGCACAGGTGACATACAGCTAGTTGACAACATCTGTGTCATATTGGGAGGAGGATCAACATTCCATAAATTGAGGTGGTCCTCACCTGACTGGGGCTGATATCCACCACCACCACCGCCGCCGCCAAGATTTCCGTAACCTGTTCATATTATAAAACAGTTCGAGTGAATAATCCCTTGTGGGGAGAGGATTGTTGAACATAAATAACATTTTTGTGATCCATTGATCGTCTCGTTACCTCAACTGAACTCACTCAAAAACCGCAGTCGAATTTGTTCTGGTCTATGTGTCTAAATTACGTCAGGAGTCTCCTGGGCCTGGTGATATCTTCAAAGAGTCACACTTTGATGTTGTGCAGCTTGCACGGTGCAACAGTCATCACAGACCCATGGGAAATGATGCCATGCTCTTTGTCAAAACTGTAAATTACTGGAATCATTGTGAGCTCATTTCAGTGAGCATCAACGGCCCTTTTTTTCTCTTTTTTTTGACGTTGCAAAAGGAGCAAGCCCACCAAGGGGAGATTTAAACCCTGAATCTCACAACTGTGAGCTGCCCCATTTAAAAATGAATAAAAACGTCAATAAGAGTATGAAATACAAAAGTGTCTTATGTAACACCTGTGCTTGCTGCCTTTCAATCAGAAACAAACTTTTGGGTATAAGACGCAAGTATAAAAGCTACCTGGTTTGGGGGCTTTCGCTCCTCCACCGGCACCACCCAGTCCGACTGCAGAAGGATACAGCAAACCACCTGCTCAAAAGGAAACTTGCTTCAGAAAAGAAAGCGTATCAAACGTCTGCAATGCCAATTACTGTACACTCCTCGTCCTAATGGCTTCACACCCATTAAAAAGACTTATCAGTTCCCTGTGCAGGAAATGCCAAAGTGATGGCTTCTTCCTGACCAACTGTCGTTTCAGTCACTGGGCAGAACGTTGTTTGTTTTTAGGTTTATTTGCACATGTTCATACATACGTACCCGGTCCATACCTACATTGAAATGGGCATTATTTTCTGTCAGGGTAAACGACATCCCAGGGCAAGTACTTAATATGTCTGAGTCTGTTGCATATGAACAATGAAGGCAGTTTTTCCTGTTCAGATTTTCAAATCAGTGCAATTCATTTGAGCCTATGTGTTTCTCAAGCACGCAACAATATAATCAGATTTGATGCTGAACTTCAGAACAACTCATGTTTTAGAACACAAATGTACACTGTAAAAAAAAAAATGGGTGAACTCAACATTTCAAGGCAACAAACTTTCATAACATTTTAAGTTGGGCAAATTTTGTTGTTTTGAAAATTGGTTTTCCCGCATTTCACAACAAAGATGTTTCCAGAACTAACTGTCCTTGTATTGTCCCCAACTTAAAGATAGAAGTGAAAATAACCTAGCAAATAGTTTGGGCACAAACGACTTGCTTGCTTTGTTGTGCTAACTAGAATTATGTCCATAAATGTCAAATTTTATATTTGAAAGTCTTCCCAACTTAAATGACGGTACAAGCTGTGTGTGTGTGTGTGTGTGTGTGTGTGTGTGTGTGTGTGTGTGTGTGTGTGTTTACAGTAAAAGTGATGTCTAACCTTGATAGCCTCCTGCTCCCAGTGGGATTCCTGCTCCAGTTCCTGCTCCCCCCACGACTATGAGAGGAAAAGGGAGACAAGTAAGCAGGAAATAGAGATACATCCTTCTACAATGCTGTAAAAATACAAAATAAGTTTTGCATTTATTTTATACACACCGGGAGGTTTCAAGGGCTTTGCACCAGGCAGCACTGCAGCCCCTGTTCCGGTTCCAATACCAGTTCCAACCCCATAAGGAGCTACAGAATAGAAAATAATAGAATAGGTATTCATGACGTACTGTGTTACAAAAATGGTTAGTTACGTCACACCAAACAGTCGACTGTAGATAAGAACTGCTGCAGCAAAACGATATAGCGAGATGCAAAGTGTCTATTTCGATGGCAGGAACCTGCTCTGAGCATACACACGTCCTATTGCACATGAATGTAAGGAGTGACGAGAAGGCAATGGAGTGTTATGGATGTCGGTCACTGTATCCTAAAACATGAATGAGATCCATTTTAAGTCAGGTACAAAATGGATAACTTGCCTCCGTAAGGGTAACCTACTCCGCCTGGACCAATATCTGTTCCAGTGCCTGTGGAGCAGAAGACCAGTAAGAAGTGTTCAAGTCACTTTAATCTGTAGATATTTTACAATTAGCATTTTACTGTAGTCTGTGTGTCTGATTTATTATTGTGTTCAAGTTTTTTTTTTCATGAAATGCAGTCATCAGAAATTAAGTGTACTGATTTTATTAAGATGCTCAACATTTCCGAGTTTAATATGTGCATCTTGTTTATATTTGTCAAACATGGTTATGATATATGTAAAAGAATACATTGATATGTAATGTATTTGTAGACATGATGTAAAAATCGATATATGGATCTTTTGTACCTTGTGGAATTGGTTTTGGTGCCTTGCTCGCTGTGCCAACACCATCACCAACACCTGCCAACAGTAGGATCAGATCAACTAAGTCAACTTAGACTCGGACGGAAGACAGAGCTGCTTTCTTTGGTCTATGTCTCTACCATGTGGCGAAATTATGTATTGCATCTCCTAAACATGCACGTACAGGGCCGTACGTCATGACTCGAAAAAGGACAGAACAGACTGGAATTGTGTTGTGTTTTGTTGTGGTGTATTTTATTGTGCTGCATTGCATTATGTTATATCCTATTGGGGAAAAAAGATAATAATAAAAACGAGAGCCTTTTCAGACTTACCGGTTGGACTTTGACCTTTTGTACCAGCTGAAATACAGACAAAAATTGAGTTAAACTCAAGCATTAAATATGACCACAATTAAGGTGCATTTACAGACAAAAAAAACCCCCAAAACAACAACCCAAAACATACAGTGTTACTAAAATAGACCAGCACAACAACAAAGTCAACCGGATGTTGGATGGATATTATGTTTCAGTTTGTAATTTTTGCGATCGTAGACCTTTTCCTTTCTGATCATCACTGATACCATCCATCCATCCATTTTCTGATTCGCTTTACAAGGGTTGCAGGGCATGCTGGAGCCTATCCCAGCTGTCTTCGGGCAGTAGGCGGGGGGACACCTGAACCGATTGCCAGCCAATCGCAGGGCACACGGAGAGGAACAACCATCCGTGCACACACTCACATCTAGGGACAATTTAGAGCATTCAATCAGCCTGCCATACATGTTTTTGGAATGTGGGAGGAAACCGGAGTACCCGGAGAAAACCCACATAGGCATGCAAACTCCACACAGGGAGGCCAGAGCTGGAATCAAACCCGGTACATCTGCACTGTGAGGTTGACGCGCTAACCACTGGATCACCTCCATCCCTGATACCCTCTGGTTAATTTCCCTGCACAGGTGTTCCAACAGTGTCAGCCACTTATTGCATGTCACTTCAGCATCTGAATGGGTGTGACTGTCAGTAATTATTGAGCTCGAGTAACTGCCTGGTCTACTACAACTCTGCAGGAACACCATCTTTCTAGCCCTTCCACTAGCACCCCTGCCCAAGCACAATGCAGATGATGAACAGATGAATCAGTCAAGATTGCAAGCATAAGGATGGTCTTACTGGGCAGTGGGAGCTCTGTGGCCTTGCCATTTGTGGCAATAGAGGTGGGGCCTGCCAAAAGAAAGGGAGCACAGGTGGTTTGACCAGAAAAGTTAGAAAGCTAATGCTGCAGGGAGGCTTTAACCTAAAGGTGGTAAATAGCTGTGAGAGCAAGCGATACAAGGTGGCTGTGCTTTGCATGTGTGAAAACATGATTTAAAGTAGATGACTGTGTTGAATGTACAGTATATAAATAAAATACTGTACTGTCGCAAAATTGTACGGCTGCTGTTGCCCTGCGGGTAGCTGTAGACACCAGCGAGACCAGCATGAAATCATAACAAAACCCAGCATATGCTGGTGAGCACCTATGCTGGTCTATTTTTATTATTTTTTAAAATTTTATATATATATTTTTAGCAGGGCTGATTGTAGAAACTTGTAAATTGGGACACTCATATGTCAAGCTATCGCTGTATACGTCTATGAGAAGGAAATGTAATTTCACAGTACCTGGAACAGGAGTTCCAGAAGGACCTGCATCCTTTGCTGTAGAAACAATAACAAAAAGATGAGTGAAAACATGTACAAAGAAGCTCATGTGAGATAATAAGTGTCTGTCCTCTGCGCCTTACGTGGCTTTCCAGCAATGGTATCGCCCGGGCCACCTGGTACAAGAGCAGAACCATCAGGGAGGCCGCTGACCCCAGTGTGTGGTGTCGCTCCCGGCAAGGCAAGACCTACTCCGGAAACGGCGCCTAGGAGAGGTCACAAAATAAAACGATAACCGCAATGTAAATTTTAATGTTGATTTTTCTTCTTGAATCAAATGTAGCATATTTTGCATCTTTAGCAGCACCAGAGTACTGATCACCTCCAACTGCTCCTGGTCCTATTCCTCCTCCTCCTCCCGCTGCTGCTCCAACTCCTGCTCCACCTCCTGTTGAAACCCCCAATGCAAATAATCCGACCGAATTATATCTCATTCAAGAAAATCAGTCTATTGGGACTAGGTAAGGGAGAGAAATGTCGCTAAATAACTTGAAATCTCTGTATAATGAGATACATCTTAGTGCATGATGTATCTAGATGTCTTCATGAAATTTGTGTTTTATCTCCTGTACCATATTTAGCAGCTTTTGCAGCAGCAGCAGCATTGTATTGTCCACCTCCAACTCCTCCTGGTACCAAACCAGGTACTCCTCCTACTCCTGTTCCCAACCCTCCTCCTGCCCCCCCCAGGCCTCCTGTTCCGAACCCTCCTCCGGCTCCCCCTGTAATTCACAATTAAAGGAAATGGATTTCAGATTGTCTATAAAGTGTAGATTTCTCTGAAGCCGTGTTTTATTCCCTTACCGTATTTGGCAGCTTTTGCAGCAGCAGAGTATTGACCACCTCCAACTCCTCCGGGAACAAAACCAGGTACTTGCCCACCTGTTCCTCCCAATCCACCTGTTCCTAACCCAGCGCCTGCCCCTCCTGCAAACCACAACAAATAGAACGGATTGGATTTTATCTTAAAACTAGATTAACATTTCCACGTCCATCTGATGATTTGTATCATGTAGTACATCATATATTGACTTTACCATATTTGGCAGCTTTAGCAGCAGCTGCGTACTGTCCACCTCCAACTCCTCCGGGAACAAAACCAGGTACTTGTCCACCTGTACCTCCCAGTCCTCCGGGTCCTATCCCTGCTCCTGCTCCAGTCAAAACGATTAAAATTGATTCATGCATAATGTTTAAACTTAAAAACCAGACTAACACTTCTACAGACATTTGAAGGTATGTATACGACTTCATTTATTTACTGTACCATATTTGGCAGCGTTTGCAGCAGGAGAATACTGTCCACCCCCAACTCCTGGTACGAAGCCAGGTACTTGTCCACCTGTTCCTCCCAGTCCTCCTGCACCCAAACCTGCACCCGCTCCTCCTTTAAAACACAACATTTATAACTGATTTAAGAATATTGTTCAAACTTTGGTGAACAATTCCATGCATTCCTGATAGCATAGGTATGTTCCTTATTTTGACTGTACCATATTTGATAATCTTTGCAGAAAGTGAGTACTGTCCATTTTTGACAAATTGTAAACACAAACAAGATTATAAACTGTACCATGAAAAAGGTATTTGCAACTTCTTATATTTTTGGGCATACTTACCACACATAAAATGAGAGGAAGAATTATTTGCATCATTGTGGAAGAAATATGTTGCCGTTCTTCACAGTATAGTTTTAACTCAATCATATTGGAGGGTTTTTGAACATTAATGCCTGTTCAAGTGGATTTAAGCACAGATGTTGATGAGGCCACGCTACAGTAAAACTTATTTTTTTCTTTCTGTTGTTTCTAGTTGTTGTCCTGCTGAATAACCCAAATGAGGTTGAGGGTGTGAACTGATGGCTCGACATATTATATGTTGGACAGCTGAATTTATTGTTCTGTTATTCACAGCAGGTGGTCCAGGTCCACAAGTCACAAAGCAGCCCCAGACTATCACAATGCTGGCATTATGTTCTTTCTATTAAGTGTTTTTTTTTTTTTTTTTTTTTAATGAGATTATTTTTATGCCAGATGAAACAAGTTACACAGCTTCGAAAATTTTTGTCTCATCAATCCACAGAACATTTGCTCCAATGTCTTGGACATCAAAGATTTTTCTTGGAAAATATGAGATGAGACTCGCCAATCAATTGCCTTTTGACCAGTTTCTCTGTTAAATTTGAGTCATGAACACTGACGTTAACTGGGGCTAACAAGGCCTAGAGTTCTTTGGATGTTGTTTTGGAGTCTCTTGTGGCCTCTTGATGAGTCATTTTTGCACTCTTGAATTAATTTTAGTTGGCCGGCCACTCCTGGAAAGGTTTCACTCTGTTCTCACAAATTTTCTCCATTTATGGACAATGGCTGTGACCGTGGTTCGCTGGAGATTTTCGAGCCTTGAAAATGACTTTGTAACCTTTTCCAGACTGATACTGATTGCAATTACTATGTTTCTCATTTTTTCTTGAATTAAATTTGAATGGTGGCATAATTCATTTCTTTTTGAGGTCTTGTAACATATTTTTTTAATTTAATTTTGTCTGACAGGTACTGACAGATGATTTCTAATCTGACAGTAAACACGCAAGGGGGTGGTCAGTGAAATTGAACTAAAAATTATGATTCATCACAGGTAAACCATGATTTAATTTTTCTAAAAATCACATAGCAAAAGTTTGGATTTTCCCATAAAATAGATAAATTCTACATTTAAAAACTTCATTTTATATTTATTTGGGATGTCTTAGTAAGATATAAAAAAATGCTTTGATGATCAAAAACTACAAGTGATGAAAAAATAAATAAATCTGAAAACAGATTTAAAAATACTTTTTCATGGCACTGTATGTGTTTGTAGAGACCGTATTTAGCAGCTTTTGCAGCAGCAGCAGCGTATGGTCCACCCCCAACTCCTCCTGGTACCAAACCAGGCACTCCTCCTAATGTTGCTCCGAGTCTCCCCAGGCCTCCTGCCCCCAACCCTGCTCCTGCTCCTCCTAATCAAAGCAAACATAGCATGTTGTTTCCTAAAATCTAAACTTAAAATGAGAAATAATAGCTACAGTACAATGAGAAACGGGAATTTAACTGTGTTTTGGATCTTTACAAATGTTCAGTTTACCATATTTGGCAGCTTTTGCAGCTGCAGCAGCAGAGTATTGTCCACCTCCAACTCCTCCTGGTGCCAATCCAGGTACTCCTCCTACTCCTGTTCCTCCTAGTCCTCCCGTTCCTAACCCTGCTCCTGCTCCAGCTGCAACTCATAATCATGGGAAATTAAATAAGTATAACACACATTCTTCTGAATGTGCAATGTTTTATTTGCTGTACCATATTTGGCAGCCTTTGCAGCAGCAGCAGCATATTGTCCGCCTCCAACTCCTCCTGGAACAAAGCCAGGCACTCTGCCTACCCCTGTTCCTGCTCCTCCAAGTTCTCCTGTTCCGAAACCTGCCCTTGCTCCTCCTGTAAACCAAGGTTCAGTTAACTGGTATGTCAATTGTACAAGCAGGTATGTATTAATTGCTTCATTTCTTGTACCATATTTAGCAGCTTTTGCAGCAGCAGCAGCAGCATATTGTCCACCTCCAACTCCTCCTGATACCAAACCAGGTAGTCCTCCTACTCCAGCTCCTCCCAGTCCTCCTGTTCCAAACCCTGTTCCTGCTCCCCCTGTAACTCCCAATTAAGAAAAAAAAACAGACATGATGTTTACACTTTGATTGAATTTTTGCTTTCACAAATCATTCTAGCAGGTTTATACAGAATATTGACTGATAAGTGCAACTTCTGAGAACTGCCCATACCATAGTTTGCTGCTTTTGCTGCTGGTGAATATGGACCAGTGCCTGGAAATCTCTGACCTCCTCCTGGTAGGGCAAATGGTGCCCCACCTGGCACACCACCTGGCACTCCTCCCAGGACACCACCTGGTACACCTCCTGTTGAGTATTTATTTATTTATTTTTTTGGGTAATAAACAAAGCCTGACTTATTTGAATTTATCTTACGATATCTCATGGTGTTTGCCCTGGACATCTACCACAACCACCAATAACACAACTAAAGTGAGAATTGTGACAATAGAACAGACCCATACCATATTTTGCTGCTTTGGCTGATGGTAAATATCCACCACCTGGTACACCACCAGGTACGCCACCAGGTACGCCACCAGGTATGCCACCAGGTACGCCACCAGGTACACCACCTGGTACACCACCTGTTAAGATGACGCAAGTAAAATGATTTTGATTGTCTGCAGGTTGACATGATTTAACACATGAAACATGGATACAACGACCCTGGAAACAGTGAACCTGTGCCAGAAATTGTGACGTGACAGCAAGGACTGACAGAGACCAACAACGTCCCACCATATTTAGCTGCTTTGCTGATGGTAAATATGCATTACCTGGAACGCCACCAGGTACGCCACCAGGAAGACGACCTGAAAAGGAGACCCCAAGAAATACGGTGTTAAATCTATGAAGACTGAAATGATTGCTTATGTGATGCATCGGGTACAGTCCACATGTGCGACCAACAAGAACAGCAACATAAACTTTAATTGGATCCATTACAGTATTGTCCATACCATATTTTGCTGCACTGGCTCCTGGTTGATATCCACCAAATCCCGGTACTCCACCAGGTACTCCGCCTGGTACTCCGCCTGGTACTCCGCCTGGTACACCTCCTGGTACTCCAGCTGGTACCCCCCCTAGAAATAAGACCAAAGAAAATTAGCGTGTATAATGTGTGTGTATTTTGTTGTTGTTTTTGTTTTTTTTAGACATGATACATTATGATATATTCTGTAGATACAGTCCAACTAGGAATACAACCAACACTGCAAATTGTGACCAGTAGAATGGCTCCCATACCATATTTAGCTGCTGGTTGATATCCACCAACCCCAGACACACCCCCGGATACGCCACCTGGAACACCCCCTGGTACTCCACCTATCATGAATAAACACATAATGATGGATACATCATGGTGTCTGCCCTGGCTGCAGTCCACCTGTGGCAAAATACCAAAACTACCAACATTGAGAATCATGACCAGCAATTTGATTGCTTGGATGAATGCATGGCCTGCTCTGCATATATTTCACCTGTATGACCTGTACACCACTAGCAATGAAAACTAAATACAATTGTGAGGAAATTAGATGTGTCCACACCAAATCAAACTGCAACCACCGGAGATGTTTGCATAACATATTTAGCTGCTTTGATGAAATAATATTGATATATAAAAGCATGGTGTGTTCGAGAAATAGTCCAGCAGTGCTATCATAATACCATCAGCAATGCCAAGTAGACAAAATTGTTATAAGCAGAGCGGTGTACAGACCGTATTTCGCTGCTTTGGCTGCTGGTTGATATCCACCAAATCCTGGTACACCACGAGGCACACCGATTGGTAGACCCCCTGGTACACCTCCTGGTATTCCACCTGGCACACCTCCTGGTACTCCACCTGGCACACCCCCTGGTATGCCACCCATCAAGGAGAAAAAACAAAAAGCAAAAAGTGCGTTGAAGTACATGACTTTTACGCAATACAGTGATGGCAGAAGCCCTGAATACAAGCCACATATGCCATCAATCTTCAGACCTGCGAGGAGCATACCATATTTAGCTGCTTTGGCTGATGGTACATATCCACCACCTCCTGGTATGCCACCTGGTACACTACCTGGTATGCCCCCTGGCACACCACCTGGTACGCCGCCCAGTGCGCCACCAGGTACACCACCAGGTACACCACCAGGTACACCACCAGGTACACCACCTGGAACACATGTCCAAGAGACCCAAGTAAGATGCTTTTGACTACAAAATTTCATGACTTTTCATATGATTCATTATGTTGTGCGTGCTGGATATAGTCCACCTGTGACACAAACGTCCAGAATTACAATCATCAGCATGGTCCCCATACCATATTTAGCTGCTTTTGCTGATGGGAGATATCCACCACCTCCTGGTACACCCCCTGGTACGCCCCCTGGTACGCCCCCTGGCAAACCCCCTGGTACGCCCCCTGGCACACCACCTGGTACACCACCTGTCAAGGAGCCCAACGTTTTGTTTATATATATATATATATATATATATATACACTTTGTTTATATATACACTCTGTCTCAGCTTTTTTGGAGTACGTTGCAAGTTAATGGGTTTGTAGATCATACTGATTGTATAAATGCATGGTCTGCTCTGGATATAGTCCATCTGTGCCATCGGCCCACCACCAAGCAATGCCAAATAGACAAAATTGTTAGAAGCAGAGCAATGTTCATACCATGTTTAGCTGCTTTGGCTGCCGGTTGATATCCACCAAATCCTGGTACACCACCTGGCACACCGCCTGGTACACCACCTGGCACACCCCCTGGTAGACCCCCTGGTACACCTCCTGGTACACCACCTGGTAAACCCCCTGGTACACCACCTGTCAAAGAGAATCAGGACAGAGGTTGTTCATTAAAAGAAGTCAAGATACATCATAGTGTCCATGAGTAGAGGCCACCTTTGCCACCAGCACTACCAAAACCGCCAGCTTTGTGCCTACCATATTTGGCTGCTTTGGCTGATGGTAAATATCCACCACCTGGTACACCTCCTGGTATACCCCCTGGTATACCTCCTGGTACACCACCCGGTACACCCCCTGGCACACCACCTGGTACACCTCCTGGTACACCACCTGGTACACCTCCTGGTACACCTCCTGTCACAGAGAATCAGGACAGAGGCTGTTCATTAAAAGAAGTCAAGATACATCATAATGTCCACGAGTAGAGGCCACTTTTGCCACCAGCAGTACCAAAACCGCCAGCTTTGCGCATACCATATTTAGCTGCTTTGGCTGATGGTAAATATCCACCACCTGGTACACCTCCTGGTATACCCCCTGGTATACCTCCTGGTACACCACCCGGTACACCCCCTGGCACACCACCTGGTACACCTCCTGGTACACCACCTGGTACACCTCCTGGTACACCTCCTGTCACAGACAATCAGGACAGAGGCTGTTCATTAAAAGAAGTCAAGATACATCATAATGTCCACGAGTAGAGGCCACTTTTGCCACCAGCAGTACCAAAACCGCCAGCTTTGCGCATACCATATTTAGCTGCTTTGGCTGATGGTAAATATCCACCACCTGGAAAACCTCCTGGTATACCTCCTGGTACACCACCTGGTACACCCCCTGGCACACCACCTGGTACGCCTCCTGGTATACCACCTGGTACACCACCAGGAACACCAGCTGGTATACCACCTGGCACTCCACCTGGCACACCACCTGACCAGATGGATATAGTTTTTTAGAAAAATATATAGATTAGCACCTTTTAGAGTGGCACTCTGTTGTTTGTTTAAATGCTTTCATAATAACAATAGAAGCTGGAATAATAGTTACCATATTTAGCAGCTTTGGACCCAGGTCCATAGCCCGCTGTGTAATAGGGACAAATTCAATGTGTACATTGATTTCATGGCATCTACATACACATCTGATGAGACCAATATCATTTCAAAATAATGTTGTGATTGCGTTCAAGACTCGCTACCTCCTGGACTCTGCCCTGGATATAGTCCACCTGTGCCACCGACACCCAAACCACCTGCACCGGGACCAAAACCACCAGCGCCACCAGCAACAGCACCAAAACCACCAGCTCCACCCAAACCTACAGAAAAGTAAAGACAAATATGAATATAGAACAGTAAATACTTTGGTGAAAGGTGGCTCACAACACTTTCTTGGGTGTTAAATGGTACAGATTACCATATTTGGCAGATTTAGCCTGCGCAGGTGAGATGCCACTGGTGCCCACTCCTGCACCCCCCCCAACCACACACACACACGCACACACACACACACACCCACACACACACACACACACAACAACCAACACACAACACA